TTTTCTGAGTGTATTACAGATGATGTTCCAACATCGTTTATGACACAATCTGCAATATTATTGTTGGAAACATCGTGATATTCATTAAAAGCAACGTAATTGTTCACATGATCTTCATTTTCCTGGCTTCCTTTAGATTCTTCATCACTCCAAGTCACGTTGAATGTTTTCTTATTCTTCTAAAGTGTATTTGCGCATTCCGATTGGATGTGTCCATATCCGTCGCATTCTCGGCACTGGATGCCCCGGTTTCGTGTCTTGGCTTTTGAATTGCTAGCAGCATCTGTATTCTTCTAAAAGGTGTTGAATTTGCCAGAATTTGGAGTGAATCCCTTACCTTTTACTCTTTTCAAAATGAGTTTGAAGTTCTTTATCAAAAGAGCAAACAATTCTCCCAAAACTAGTGGATCTCCTCTATCTTCCTCCATAGTTAGTTTTTACAATTCTACTTGAAAGGTCGTTTCTTTCTCCTACTTGTTCTGGTCTAGATTCATCTCAAATGTTCTCAATGATTCCATCAACTCATCTAGTCTCATAGTTTGAATATTTTTAGCCTCTTCAATAGCAGTGAGTTTATACGCAAATCTTTGTGGTAGTGATCTCAGGGTTTTGCTGACAACTTTTGCCTTGGAGATTTTTTCACCAAGAGTAAGAGATTCATTAGCTATATCACACAATCATGAATTAAATTTAGAAATAGTTTCAGTTTCAAGCATATGAAGAGTTTCAAACCTGGTTAGGAGTATATTCAATTTTGATTGTCTAACCGCGGCTGTTCCTTCATAAGCCACCTCCAGAATCTCCCATGCTTCTTTTACTGATTCACATGTGGATATCATCTTGAACTAATTAACATCAACTCCATTGAATATAGCATTGAGTGCACGTGAGTTGTAGTTGGCCAACTTGTCTTCATCCGTGCTCCATAACTCTTCAGGCTTGAGAGTCTATTTTCCTTCTGCATCCTTAGTTACTAGATGATTCCAGCCAGTTAGGACTATACGCCAAGCCTTTTCATCCTAAACCTTGATGAAAGCCTTCATCTGAGCCTTCCAATAAGAATAATTTGAGCCATCGAGGAAAGGTGGACGTGATACTGAACCTCCTTTCTTTAGCAAATCCATCTGAGACGTAGCAAATCAATTTTTCCAAGATCTCACCGAACTTCTGGTCAATGAACTTCTCTGATACCACTTCTTAGCTCTGATGTTACGTATAATATTCCAGATGATGTTGGAATACTATCTGGAACACTACTAGCTTAGTTTACTATTCCAATTAACTTAGCTAAAGAAAGCAAAAGTGTTGAAAGTAAATAGACACGTAATTTGATATCGTAGTTCGGTGCGCACACCTATATCTGTGGGCCCACGTCCAGACAGTAAACAGTTTCACTCTGATATAAGAATTACAACACTGACAGACTTATTCACTCAAGGACGCCCTCTTGGACTATGACGCCGCTATGATGAATCCTCACAATGACTCTGTTTAGCGTGCTACACATGTCTTCTAATCCAACTACTGAACTCCCTTCAGTAGAACATACTTTCACATGAAAATGACTCAGAACTTTCAACGAGTTCTATCTTCTCTCAACAGCAGCACACTCTAGAAAAATCTACACCAACAAAAGCGTCACCCTATTTCATGAACTGAAGCCTTCTATATCATCTTTCAAATGGCTCACAAAATCTTGTTCAAATACAAATCTCTTATCTTTTTCTCCATGATTCTCTCCGATGTGATTTGCATAATCTTCTTTTAAATTTGAATTCCAAATCATTCGGCTTATCTTTCCTGATCTCTAAATCCGAACCTCCTTAGAAAATTAGATCAAGTACAAATTCAAATAAAAGATCAAGATCTTCACGTGCTTGGCTTTATCTTCTCCCTAACTGTTAGCAACAACTAATCTGCACAATGCACCAACTCCACTGTAGCAATCCGGAATACCGTGATAATTTCTAGTTGCTATTTTTTGGACCTTTACTTACAAAAAAAACTTAGTTTCCCAAACAGCCAACTAACACAATATCCTAACACCAACTACCAACCATAGATAGCAACAAGCTCTGCTATTCCAATTTTTTCTTAGTTCGTCGTCAAGTAAAACAAGCTCTTCACTTAATCCTTTTCCCTCAAACAACCTAGATCAAGCTTTGTAGATTTAATCCCTAAGAAGCATTATGATGAAAAAGATAGGTTGATCTAAGCAATAAACACACAAGCTCAGACTATTTAACTTAGGTTATGCTCTTCATGCAATTATACGAAAGCTTGACCACAATCAATAATCACAATTGCAATGATTAGAAATTCAAGACAATTAAAGATCAAGACTCATAATCTAGCAATAGAATATTCTCAAGTCCTATCCAATTAGCCACCCAAACAAAACAAGAGAATAATCATAAGCAATAATTATGGAAGAATATAAGCAATTTTAATACAAAACCGGAAAATAAAATCATAATATAAATCCATGTCTAGAGTTTTGAAATCACCCTTAACCAAAATAAACATAAGCTAACATAATGAAAAAGAAAATAAAAACTAAAGAAAATAAAGAGAGAAGGGAAGAAATAAGTAGATTAATCTTCAGGAATCTCCACTTTTTCTTCTTCTTCTTCATCTCTCGAAGGCTGTAAAATAACGGGTAAAAGCTCCTCTAATCAGCGCCTATGTTGCCTATTTATAGATTTCCATGTTGGGCTCAAATAGAGTAATTTTCGGAGTCAAAACAACGGTTTCATTGAGGCCTGATCGCAGCACGACGTTGCGGCGCCATGCCCTTAGCACTGCAGCGCTACTTGCGCTGTTCCGGAACTGCTACGTGCAGGGGCTGGCTCTACAATGCCACTGACCAACGTTGCAGCACTGGGGTGTTGTGCAGGCAGTGCCTACATGGCGGCAAAGCGCCACACATTCTGCCACTTCGTGCTTTTTTTCCGTTTTGTGACATTTTAAGTTCGAAATCATTCTTTGACCTTCAAAACACCTATAAGACATAAAATCATTATTAAATATAAAAATACTCAAGAATCAAGCAAGAAAACATGAAAAAAAAATGTTAAAGTATAAAAACTATTGTTGACCCACCTCCTAATAGCTTAAGCTTTTAGGATGGATTGGTAAAACTAATGTGATATCAGAGCGGAAGGTCCTAGGTTCAAACTCCTGTAATTACACTCTTTATCCCCATTTAAAATTGTCATCATGTGTTGGGTCTTTAATATATCTCGGACTTAAATATTCACGATAGTGTCCTCCAAATATAGAAATTTGATGACATTGCGTAATAAGAATCTAGTGTCATTAATTATTATTAATTTTTTGATTAATTATTCAATTTATTACAACTGTCAGATTAATATCTTACAGTTAAAATAAGGGGAGGGAGTAGAATAAGAAAGATCGATGGAATGTGTTTGTATTTGTGGGCTTATGGTTGGTTATCATTGGGGAGGGTCCATTTACCAGGCTGTCAAATTTTCTATCAAGGTCCACCTATAACACCACACTCTCCCTTTATGTCTTTTTCTTTCAATTCAAGAAGCATTTGCTTTTACTTCGTTTGGTATATATGGCCTTTTCATGTAGTGGGGGTGTGAGATGAAGTTTGGAGGATTATCATTTTGTTCTACCACCAAAATAAAGTACTAACTAGTTTTTACATGCAATCTTTGAGTTAAGACAAAGGAAAATTTTTTTGTTGCTGTCAGCAATTAAAGATATAGAGTTACATTGACCCTTTTAACTACCAAACCTCTTTCAACTTTTTTTAATTGAGAGATTTTTTTTTTTTAGCCAATTTGAAAAGACTTGGCGCATGTGGGACTTGGATCAGTACAATTTTTTCCCGATTACTTCAACTTTTATCATGATAAGAGAAACTAAGAAAAGCATGTGAGAAAACTTCTAGCCAAAATTAAACAAGACCATCACTCACCCAAAATCTTAAAAATACATTTGATAAGACAATTACCTACTTATCAAGTGTGCATGAAGAGGTTAGAAACCCGTTGGGTGTATAAAGAAATTTGGGGTAATCTTTAAAAAAAAAAATGGTCCAAATAATGAAAAAGAGACGACCAATTGTAGAAAACAAACAGGCTAGATTTAACTTGATTTTACTCCAAACCACACTTTGTTTACCTCTTGTGGGCCAATTGTGAACGAGAGCCTCTGGTTTACAAATTGTTTCCTTCCAATCTAATGGCTGAAATTCTTAGATGTCACTTTCAAACCCATTTGCCTTTAAATTCTGATAGCTTCCTTGTTTCTTAAATTCGAAAAACACAAATCTAAAGGGAAAAAAAATCTATTCTATATATACAATATATATATATATATATATATATACATTTTTTTCCAGTTGGGCCATGAATGGTTGGGGTTTAGAGGCCTACCTGTTTCCTTCTATCCCAAGACTCAGTGAAATGCCCCTGAAAGAGAAATGGTCCACTGGTAGGGATAGATTCATGTCAGAGAAGGCAATGCCACAAGCTTAATGTTTTATGGTCTCCAAGAAAAGTTAAAGACTCACAACTCTATCAGGAGGCTGCCAAGTGAAAGACTTGTGGGCTGACTGTTTTTGCCTCCCATTCAACATAGAGCTATGGACACACATCTCTGATCCATTTATAGATTGCCCCCTATCTTCTGGACACCCAAACCAAACAAATAAATGAATCTAAGCTTCGACACATTAATTATTATTATTGCCCTTTCCCCTTCAATTTTTATTTCTTGAGATCCTCCTAGAGTTCGTTGCCTCAGCAACACTGGGGTCCACCATATCCATTTCATTCTAATTCTCATGACCGACCCATTTCGTTAATTTTCCTTTCATCCACACCACATTTTGAAATTTGGCAGTGTTGTTGATATCTACTGTTTCATTTCAACGTGTAAATTCCAAGGTGATGGATTTTTACAACTGAGTGAAGAATCACGGAAAGAGGGCGGAGAATTTGATTAGCTAGAAAACAGGGGGTGTCTAGTTAATAAAAGAATACACAACCATTCATTCAATTCTTAGTCAAAGAATATGAATTTGAGTACAAAATACATCGAAATAACTATGGCAATGTTCATAATGTTACAAACCAGATGACTGGCACTATTTGTTACCAACAAGCTATTTGATAGAAACTATTAGTTAAGCATACACTATTTTGTCTCTACATATCCTTATATGTTGCATCGATCATAACCGGAGAACCATGACGAGGGCTCTGCAAGTTTTGGCAACTCACCATCTTCACCATTGTAGAATGGTTCGAATTCCTCTCTCCATTGCTGATCACTTGCATCACAAGGCTCCTCTATGTTGTATTTTGCCATATCATCAAAAGCAGGCCTTATTGCCCCTTTAGGTAAACGAGACTCGGCAAGAAGATCATGGAGAGTTTCCTTTTCATGTTTTTTCTTCAATTTGTCCATCTGCTTGTAGGCTTTCTCAGTTTCTTGCTTAGCCTCCATAGCTTGCTTCTACAAATTGTTATAAGTTTAGCTGAGCAAATCTAACCTCATAGGAGTGTTTAAAAACGTTTAGCAAGTGGATGTGAGACAACCAGGAAACAGGAAAAGACATTGACGCACAGAGATACATCACATATATTAATCAAACTTTAAAAAAGTAAAAATGAAGATATAAATTTGATCATGAGGGTGTTATGAGTTCTAATGTTTGAGGTGAAAAGGCAAATCACAACTCACAAACCTTGATGATTATGTAATTCTTGGAGAACAAGAAAATTTTAGAATGATAGTGTTTGATAACGAATTTAAAAAATAGATAAAAAGGTCATTTATGTAATACAAATAATTGTGTTGGTATAAATTTCAGCTTCATGCCTCAATCAAAAAAATTTAGCAGGACTATACATTGCGATTAGTTAAATAATATGATTCTCAACAAAATTTAATCACTTGATACAATATTATTATCATGCACCTAAGCATAAAAGTGTAGCTTTATGATTTGAGTAGCATCATTTAAATAACTATCAAGATAATTCAATAATGACACGAAGTTAACAAGGAAAATCTGATAATGTTTCAACTCTTGGGAAAAATACAATAAATTCAAAAATCTAGAAAGATGACATAATAATTATACCGGGGAAAATTATAAAACAGAAGTGATGTTAAACACACCTGGGCAGTAGCAACAGCCTCTTCTGCTTCTTTGAGCCGCACAAGTAATTCACCTGCAGCCTGAACAGCTTCAGCAGTGTCCCTTAGTTGGGCCTGAAGACCTTTGTTCTCATCTCTAAGGTACCTTCTCTCTCTTTCTCTTTCCACTTTTAATGCCGAAATTTCAGCTGCAAGGGCATTTATAAATTTGGACTCTGCACCCCGAACCCCTGCTTTAACAGCTGCTTTCTTGACATCTTCTATTCCTTCCTGTATCCTCCTATGCCTTGCGAGAAGTTGCATGTGTTTCTCTTCCAAATCTGCATACTGTTCCAACATACGTGCATGTCCCTCCATGGCAAGCTGCATTGCTTCCTTCAGTTCTTCTGCACATTTCTTTTCAGTTTCTAGTTCCCGTTCCTTTTTTTCAGCCTGTGACCTGCTAGACTCAAGTTCAATTCTCAATTCCTCGGAAAGAGAAATCCACTTACTTTCTACCTCAGTCCAGCTCTTTCTTTCCTGTTCAAATTTGTCTTCAGCAGTTTCCTCTTTTGACTCTGAAATTGTACTAAGAGGAGGGGCCACACTAGGGTCACATGAATAGGTCAATTGTAATACAGGGTTTCGTTTTCGAGATGACGACGACGAGTCTACATAGAACTGAAGTTGGCTTCTTAAGTCTTGAAGCTCTTCCAACAACACTTCCCTCTCTCCCATATCACAAAAATTTCTCAAATTTTCCATTTCATCTTGAACTCTCTTCAGCTCAATTTTTGTCCTTAAAACTTCTGGATGATTATCATACTTCTCCTTCAACAACTGTAAATCATTGGTAAGCTAAATGCTTGAAATAAAATGAAGAAAATATATTTGCAAAAAAAATTTGAATTAACCACACCTCGTGTTCATGTTTAAGAAGGACTAACTCTTCCTCCATGAAGTCCTCAGTGGGTAAAATACCATCCATAAGGCTTTCGAGACGAAGAATCTTATCCTCCCTTGTCTGCGCAATTATGGAATTGCATTCTCTTTCGTGCTTGTATTGTTGGACCTGTAAATAGTATAGGGAGAGTAATCATATAAATCATCAAAGTAAAATAGTAAATGTTCTTGGCTGTTAACAACCTTGAAGAGACATACCAAACGATTGAGCTGCACTATCTCAGAATTTTGCTTGGCACATAAATCTTCTAGTGCCATTTCTCTCCTGATAGCCCCTGCCAAGACCTTTTCCACAGCCTGTGTAGAAGATTAATACCAGAAAATGAACTTCAGAATTTTTTCTAAGAATATGACTCAAGAATTTGAGCTTGAGACTAAACTTACTTTAGGAACTTGAATCTTCAATTTTTCAGTGAACTCTAAGCCATCAACTGGTACTAACTGCAGGTTTGAACTGTCATTGGCCTCAGCCTCTAGCTGTATTCTGCTCTTGCAGCTACCACATGTGAATTCCATCAGCTCTTCTGGTTGTACATCGTGAATAGTTTGCACACCGACATCAACTTTAGAAATTGGCAAAACAATCTTAGATTCTGCAGGTTTATATGAAAACCTATAGGATGACCTCCTAAAAGCTGAACTCTGTCGGTGATTGTCGATAATTTCAAGACCATGTCGGATGCTAGCGGCTAAATGCTCAGTTGGAGCAAGAAAACTCTTACTTGCTTGAGTAAATAGATCATTAGAAGAGCTCCCTTTCAACGATTTTGCTAAAGAATTACGCACAGCCTCCTGGATTAACTTACTCTTATCCATTGGATCTTTTTGAGACGCAGATAGCATAGATGAAGTTCTCAAACTTTTCCTGCTGCTATTGGTTCTTGGTGAAATGCTTGGAGTTGGAGATTTAAGAACTGGTGAGATCTCGCTTGGAACTATTCTAATGCTGGGAGATGCACCATTCATAGAACTGTTAGGGGACTCATCGTATTTTTCTTCAACTAGTATGCATGCGGGCTCTTCACTAACAGGCTCCAATTTCGGGCATGAGAAACAGTCATCCTTTCCGCTTTCCGGTTCTTCATTTAACTTTTTATTCACAGAAGAGCTAAGAGTACTGTTGTCCTCACTAGACAGCTCAAAGGAGTTCTTATCCAGGATGCCAGTTGCTTGATCATTGTCCTTGGGGGCATAATGAGAATTCAGCAAATTACCTTTAGAATATTCTGTGTTTCCTGCAACAGATACATCACAATCAACAATCATGGCCTCATCTTGTTCTGATATTCCCTCTTCCATCTTCACATCTGTGTCCTCAGAATCTTGTTCTTTAGTACATTCTCCTTCGGGTGCACACTGCCGAGGAGCATTAGAACTTCTTAATTCAGAGTGCACATCTGACGTAATTGTTTCCAATTTGTTCAAATCAATAATTTTGCTATCTTCACTTGCGGCAGATTGCTTTTCCACTTGAATGCAGAGTTTCTCAACAGCTTCCTCATCAATCTCCATCTCCTCATCACCGTCGTCATCAATATGCGGCAACGTCATTGGACGATTAAGGCTTGCCTTTAATAGGTGCAAACTTCTGCGAATCCATGCTGCTGAGTGACCTCCATTAGCTTCAACGGGGTTGCTGCCACCATTCGCCTTAATTCGATGCAGTTCATCCTGTTGAGTTTATCCACTTCGAGTCATATCCACATGTTCCATTTTTTATTAATAACTGAAATACAAGACGAACAAGAATATACCCGTAGCTGTCGTATTACTTCACGCAAGTGATTTACATCATCCTCCATAACTTCATTAACAACTGCCTTGTTCTTGATAGACTTGGCACGCTGTGCAAATCTCAATGTACTGAAAGTCTCACTCTTACAACTGCAATGTTTACATATATGAATTTCCATTGCACGAGGAGAATGAGAATAGATGCCTTAAGGAAAGAAGGATTCTGCATTTTTACCTTTGTGTCGGAGATATGGCACAGACCATTGCCAGTTTGGCATTCCCACCAAGGGATTCCTGCAATAAAAATGTCAATCTGGAATCTCTATAGGGGATATGCCTTTGCTTTCCGGTTTGGGAAATTTCAGCAAGAATGTTTATCAAATTCCTGCAACAATAAGTGACTGCAATTAGCGCAAGACTAAAACAGCAGTCTCTTGACACATAATGGAAACACGTGATATTTGTTAATAATGAAAATACAATGGTGACGCGGTTGACATGGATATAAATACATCCAGTAGATTTCTGTCAAGCCTCAGCTAAATGAACATATTATTGATGCCTGTCCTGTATAACAAATTTAAATACAACTTTTGTTTTTATTTTTTACTGACGTGAAATGGAATGTTGTTATCAAACTTAAGTATTTGCAAGTGATGCGTTGAAGCAACAGTGTCTCATGCTAATGATGGAATTCCTTAGGTGAATGATAAACAATTCACAGGTTGTAAGTTGTAACATAAACTGTATTCACGTATAGCATTGACTAACCAATAATTTATAATTATTGCAACAATCTTTCATACTGGAGACCACTTATTCATTCAGGGCTATGGAGAACTTAATAAAGAAATTTCATAAGTGAATAATAATTCAAACACCTCTATCGTGAACTGTTTTGGGGAGAAAGACTAAGTAATAATCTGCACATTTACAATTGTCCGTAACACAAGAAGATAGCATACCCTAGCTGTGAGAGTGATCTATTGATATTTCCAGCTTCTTTTAATCGTTCCCCTGCTGCACCTGTTAGTTTTTGTCGCTCTGACCCCGCCAAATCAACCAGATTTATTCTGCTGGTTTTGAAGCTGCTCATACCGTCTATGCTCTACAAAAATGACAGGTTACTTTTAAGTTTTCTCAGCCAAATATGTCATAGACGATAACATATATAAGGAGGCATATATACGTCATTATGGTAAATTTGTATATTTAAGACTAGCATGAGAGACGTGACTAAGGCACGTCCTTATTTGTAACTTTTTTTTTTTTTTTTGACTTTACAATATTCATGGTTTTTTTTTTTTTTTTACAAAAAAATTAAATAATTTGCTTTTATTGTTTCTTCATTAAAATATATAAATAAGTATGCAAATAATTCAACTTATAGTTTGAGTTGAACTGAAACATGTATAACATGCTAACAAATTTTTAATTGTTACAAACATGAATAAATATAGTCAACCTAATTAATATTTTTCAAATTGAAGAATAATATAGTTAAAAAAAAATAGTGTAAACTTATTAGAAAGTCATCAAATTCAACAATTTAATACTATGTACGATGATGGTTAAAAAAAGAAAGTTCAAAAAAATAAATGCATATTTTCCCCTATATATAATTATGTGTGCAGTAAAGAGTATTTAAAGATTACAAGTTGAAAATATTTAAGGGGAAAAAAAAGCATTTGATGCAAAAAGGGTAAATAAAAAAAATAAAATTTGGGATGCATGTGAAAAAATGATATTTTAAAGTATGGCATGAAATATTGAATTTGGGATATATTTGAAATAAAAAAAAATTGTGTTAATGGGCAAATTAGTGAAAAAATTTTAATAAGAAAACACTCTAAATGGCAGCAAAAAGGTCCAACCAAGATGGCTAGCTCTACCTTGCACCGAGATTCAAGAACACACGTGAAAACAGTATGTGAGCGGGAACTCTCAGCATTGATGCTAGTTGCACCTGTCCTCCTGTTTGACAGTCCCTGCAAGTGTATTTGGTAGATGTAATGAGATGCATGTAAACAAGTTAATTGTGAAATATAGCTTCATCCATTTTCATATTTGACAAACAAAGAAATTTCAATAAGAGAAAAGATGGGTAACTATTTGGAAGAGAATTTGTAAAACGTGAAAAATTTGAGTGCAAAAGATAAACTAATTTCTTTGATGCAAGTAATAAAATGCTAAAGAATGCACCAACATGTATGGAAAAACTCCATCATTAAAACATACAGCAAGCTAGATTGACAGTACACCTTCGGTATTTCGTTTCTTTTTATTTAACAGTGTTGATGTTTTGTTTAATATGTTCAGTACACTGGCCTTGCTAATGACTTATTTTCCCTTTTTGTAAGAGCTATTATAGGGCCAGTTTCATAGTACTATAGATTTTGAAAAAATTAATTTTAGTTGTGCTGAAGGAAAAAGCAATTACAAAAAGCAACTGAGTGTTTGGTAAACTGTAATTATACAAGTGTTGCTGGTTCCAAAAGCAGTGTAATAGCATTCGGTAAATTGTGAGATTTAATTGCTGTGGGTCGTTAAGATGACCGTAATTAATAATTAATAATTATTTAGCAAATAAAAATTAATATATTAATAATATAATAATGGATAAATTATCAGTAATGAGTGAAGTAGTAATTAAACTATATATAAAATAAATTAATATGCTAAATAATTAAAAATAGTAATTAGTAATTAATTGTAAGTAATTACTATGTTAGTAATGTACTCATATTTATTAGTTAGTAATGTACTCATAATTTATTATAATTTATTTTAATTGTAAGTAATTAAGAAAAATAATTAGTATATACATAATTTATTAATATTCCTTTTACTACTTAAATTATTAACTTTTAGTTACATAATTAAATAATTAGTTAATTAATTACTAATGTTTATTTAATAATTTATTATTTGATATATCACATGATCAATTTTTAGTAATTATTCTTTTTATAATGATTAATTACTAATTATCAATTATTAATTATTATTGATTAATATATTACATTGATAATTATAATTTAATATTAATTATTACTTGAGTAATTACTATTTATTTTTTATTTACCAACTATTTACTAATTAATAGATTATAATTAACATAATATACGATTGATATATTAATTATTAAATATTTATTTAATAACCTATTATTACTTGTTTTATTGTTAATATGTTATATAATTAATTTTTGACAATTAATCTTTAACTAAATAAATAATTACTATATTATTTATTCTTTTATCAAAAAAATTAAACGAACTCCAGAGGAAGAATCAGAAGAAGAGGGCTTGTTCTTTTGATGTTTTTGAGTTAGATAACTTGAGTGTAGATTTTGAGTTGAGTTTGAATTATAACTTGAGTTGAAGTTGTAACCTGAGTTTGTGTTTGGTTGTGTACATTTGAGTTATGGTTTGAGATAAGAATCTTTTTTGAGTTTGTGTTTGAGTAAGTCAAAACTTGAATTTGTTTTTAGATAGTATTTTAATAAAAACTCAATGCTGATGAAAAATTTTAATAGGGTATATGGGTCTAATTTTATTCGTATTTTCGTTGCCAACGCATAGAAAAAAAAATCATCTCAATCAGAATTAAAACGAAAAAGTTATAGCATTTTTAAGAATAGAAAAAATATTATTCATTAACTTGAGTTCGAGTTTCTGAACTCGAGTTGAAGGGGAAACTTGAACTCGAGTTTTAGTTCCAAACTCGAGTTCAAACTTAAAAGAACATGAACTCGAATAAAGTTGTAACTCGAGTTACCTTTATTTGAGTTTGTCACTCAAAAACTGCCTCACCGAACAGGCCCGTTGATTCCCGCACAATCTAAAAGACAAAGTTACCTTTGGACTGTTTCTGATTTTGACTGTAGATTCTTCAAAAATTCTTTAAAAATCACTTTTTATGATTTTTACCAAACACCATTATCAGATTCTGATGGCTAGAGAAGTGATTTTGAGCTCCAAGAAGCACTGCCAAATGCACCCATAGTCTTAATGTTGCTAATCCACCTTTTTTTTTTAAATTTCTTATTGTATTTTCATGTTTCTTCAAATTTAAATGTTTGGAGATAGAAATTGAAAACAGTTATTGTATTATCAGCACCATTCTGATTTTCTTTCATTCTTGTGATGCTGAGAGAGAGAGGAGAGAGAGAGAGAGAGGGGGGGGAGGGGGGGAGAGTTCTGTTTATTGTTGTAAAACATATGTTACCTAAACTAAAAATGTAACTAGCCCAATGACTATGAGATGTTCTCAATGTAACAGAAGAAACTTGTATGCAACTGATTGAATACAATGTTTTATTTTTGCATCTGAATGCAAAAATTCTAATCAATAATAACCAGACATATATTTACGAAATTAGAAACAAGCAATCATGAACTACGTGGGTGCTTGAGTTGTGAGAGCCAACCAAGGTGATTGGAAAAGGTTGAGTGCAAACTTCAAGAGGTAACGCAAGACAAATTTTCTTAAAGGGTTCTCTCCTTGAAAAGTTTTAAAGCTTAAAAAAAATGCACTTAAACTATGTAGATTATAGAGCAAACCTTCATTAAAAGCTGTTTCACATCTGACATTGAACGTACACATTCCTCTGTGAGATTATCAACATAGATCCCTGATTTAACATCTTCTCTTATCTGGGAAAAAAAGGTTGACAGAAGACCTTGTAAGTCATACAACAAAACGACCTTCCAAAATAAGGGAAGTAAAACCATCCTTATTACCTGGAGATTTCGTTGATTAGGATCCAATAAATCTGTAATTTGTTCATTGTAAATCTGTAAAAATCAGTTAATGAGTTAATGGAAGAATTTACACAGTAAATAGGCCAATCATACCAAAACAGATAGCAACAGCAATCTTGTTACCTCAAGAAAAGAACAATGACACTGATACTTGAGTTGTCTATCAGCATTCTTAATTTGCTCCTGTAGAAAGAAGTTCCACAAAGAGCTTGAAGCAGATATATGATATAAAGTTCGATGAGTAGAAGAATACAAAGACAAAATAAAATTACCTCGTTTATCCGAGCAAAGAGACGCTCAAAAACACGAGGAGTTAAACCTTGTTGATCACTAGAAATGTTTGCATCCAACAATGCATTGGCTGGACCCCACATCGTATAAGTCTTTCCACTTCCCGTCTAACAACAATCAATTTTCGTACATATTATGTATATTCTATATCACAACACATAGCAAACAAAGGCAAATTCAACATACCTGTCCATATGCAAAAACGGAACTGTTGAAACCTGCCATACAATTTTCAACAAGAGGTGCTCCCACAAGCTGGAAAATATCAAGCTGCAATAGAAACTTGTGAATAAACTCAATCATTTAATGCACACTTTCATTTAAAAATCCGGGGAAACCCACATCTCCATGAAGACCTTACCTGTGTCGCCTCTGTGTCCGCTACCGAGTCGAAAGTGAAAGTTTGCCCGTTGATTGTCAAAGAATCATTAGAAATTTTTTGAACTATCATTTCTTCTTCATCCTTCTCTTTGTGTGCTGGCCTCATTCGCACTACTACCTAGAAATTCATACCAGGAATTTTAATAATAACGACGATTCTGAGACTGAACATGTAAGAAAGAGAAAAGTCACAAATTTTAGAATGTGAAACTTCATATCAGTTTAGAATTTAATGAACAAATAATGCAGCTGAACAGACAGCTATTTATTGGAAAACATGATAACTTTCCTTAACAGAACTCATTTTCCTTATTATCACAAAATTGAACTCTTTTTTCTTAGTAGAACCTAAATATCCCTTTTGGATTGTGAAGAATTTATACAGGAAGAAATGTCAAATGGGGTAAATTATAACTACATAATTTTTGAGTTCATGAGGAAACCTTATCTTTTTTGCATCAATTACGAAGAAAACAATTTGAAACCTCAAATTTTACAAGCAATTTGAATAAATGGAAAAAATCCCCACTTTTAGACTCAATATATCTAAACCAAGTCCTAATTTCGCTCTCCAGATTCAAAAATGAATTTCACTTTTCCTTCCGCAGCTAAACAAAATAAGTAACTCCAAAGCCAGAATCCACACCGAATCATACCTGGACACCAGATTCGCAGGTTCCAAAGATGGAGTTCTCAGGAACCGTCTCCATGTTGAGCTTCCTCTTGAGAGGGTTCGACGACGGTGGTCGCGGCGGTAGCGGGCTCTTCAACTTGGCGGCAGAAATCGCCGGCGAGTGCTTCGGAATCGGAGGCAACGTGTTCGGATCCGACGGCGGAGCGTTCTCCTTGGAGCCCCTCTGCTTTCGCGACGGCCGGGGCTTGGCTGCGGTAGGGTTGGGCGAGGCCGGAGACTCCATCGTCGTCTCCCTCAAGATCGCGTTTCTTGGCTGCATGAAGTGCTTCATGGCCGCGAATTCTAGGGAGAGAAAAAGGGAAGAATCGGAGGAGAGAGAGAGAAGGGGGGGGAGAGATTGAGAGGTTTTGGATTGGAAATGAAGGAGGAGACAAAGGAGCGAGAGAGAAGGGGAAGGGAAATGTAGCCGTTCGAGGAGGGAGACTGCGGGTAGATTAGATTTTGAATTTTGGGGGAAAAAGCACATGCGTGGGGACTTTCTTTTAATCGATTGATTGTTTGTTGGTGTGATCATTTGTCTATTTCGAGAGAAAACAAAAAGGTCTTCGAAATTCCTTTTATTGTTTATTTAATTTTTTGTACCCTTTTAAATGGGGTGTTAGATCTGGAGCGTTTGCATAGAGTTTTCAAGGAAGAAATATTTACGAGAAATAATCATTTTTAGCCTTCATGTTTTAATATGTTTATTTTATGGTTACTCATCTATGTCTATTTTACAATGAATGAAAAAGAAAATGTCCATAAATTTTTATACTTGCATGTAAGTTTGTAAGATAACCTATTTAGGGTGCGTTCACTTCACTAACTTAAATTTTATGATTCGAGTTTCAAAAAATTTGAGTGTAATTTGAAATTTGGAGTTTAGGGCCCGTTCACTTCGCTGATTCGAGTTTGTAATTTGAGTTGAGATACGATTTTGTATAAGAGCTTTTTACTGTAGCAAAAAAGTTAGATGTGACTGTTTCTGAGAGCTTTTTACTGTAGCAAAACTCGAATTCTAAACTCGAATCGGCAAAATGAACGGGATCTTAGTGTTTAAGTGTTAACTATTTAACTTTTAAAACTTGAGTTTTGTATTCACTTGCACAGATACCAAACTCCAATTAATTTCAACATTGGTATGCATTTCTGTTGGACTAAAAAACGTTAACATACGTCTGGCAAGCATTTTCAAATAATGGCATGCATTTCTGTTCTTCATAATAATATATATATATATATATATATATTTATATATTTATATATTTATATATATATATATAAATATATAACCCTGATGACACATTTGATATATATATTAACAATTTTTTATAACAAATGATGACACATTTGATAAGATTTTGGTAGAACAAGTTTGTTAAACATATTGCCTTTTGATCAACCCTGACTACATTAGAATTGGGGTCTATATTATAACAAATCACAATCAAATTAGAATTTTCACTAGAGCTACCATGTCATTCAATACATGATGATCAACACCGATAACAAATGAGTAGGTAACACGATTCTGCAAAATGAATTAAAGAGTTACATACAAATCCACAGCATCCGAGACATTATACAACACAATATGCAAATTTTCCTGATAAAAAAAGACTATCAGTGACTGTTATTTGGTTTGCTACACCCATTCGGAATAACCTGTGCATATACATATGCAGGTTCCGGTTTCTCTGGTGGAGAGCTCTGAAGAGTTGCTCGACCAAGTGAAACTGCAGTGTTTGCTTTACCAGTAGAATTTTGTTCGCCATCATCGTCTATGGATACACAAATCCATTCTTTGCAGCAAAGCAAGTTTAAACATCACTATATCGAACAAAATGATGGGATCAAATGCAGCAGATAACCATCAGGAAGGAATTGGCATGTTTTCTTCAACGGTTGCATACCTAGGCAAGGAGCAGGCGTGTTTCCTTTCAAATCGAGTGCTTCTTTCACCTTTACTGTATTTCTCCTCAAGATGGACAAATTGTAGCTTGAATTGATTGATTCCACTAAGATGACATAAAGCTGAATTAGGTTAGTTGTCAAGGATGCTTGGATTGGATACATAAAGCAAATACTGAGGAAATTATGGGATCAAATGAACTCTGGACCTAAATCCAACGTCATAATGTTATGCAACCAAACAAATGTTAAACTCTCCAACCGAACAGGTTATTAATCAACCTCATAGTCACAAGGAATGGTATCAATGAGAACACAGGCTGATAATTGCCATTACTTAATAGGCACAGCGCGTGAAGAGACAAGCAAAAGCAAAGAAAGACATGTAAGGAAAGAAATACTATTTTCAAAGTGAACTTGAATTACAATTACGGAAAGGAGATGAGTTTACCTATTTGTCTCATAATCCTTTTTTGGTGAAAAAGGAGTAGTGTTGAGATACACAATTGTTATGAACTGCAATTGCGGATGAATGAGTAGCCCATATTATCAGTGTCAAACTTCAAGAACTAGCATAAATGGGCTCATCATAAGCTCTTACAGTAAAGTAAATAAATGCAAGAATAGTATCAACCACGATAATAAGACTTATAATAATTAACTACTAGCAATATGAACAAAAATACGTAAAAAGTGATAAAAGAAGGAGCCAGTACCTCATTGAGGACACAAATAAACTATCAACGTCGGTTGTTCTCATATGCAGCCCACATACTATTAGCTATTTCATCCCTCAATATGTGCATTTGTCATCGGTGCGGATGGTTTTGATGTTGTTGGATTCCTCGATCAGGATTGTGATTCTGATTCACATCTTGCTCCGTGTTGAGTGGATCAATTTCTGCTACCGGAATGGCGTCTCTCATGTATTGGGTGAGTAGATCATCGTTGTGGTTGTACATATGTATGAAGTTGTGTAGAATAGCACAAACAAGTGGAATATCTATTTGTGTCTGTATCGAGTAGTTATTAATGCACTTAAGAATACGAAACCTGGCTTTCTAGACGCCGAATGTGCACTTGATACAGTTTCTGAGGGAAGAATGTGTGTAATTGAATAACTCACGCTGAGTTTGGGGCCGACCCCGCCCTGCCCGATACTCTTGAAGGTGGTAAGTGCTCCCCCGGTACGGTGCCAAGAAACAATCATTGTTTGCGTACCCAGAGTCGACGAGGTAATATTTACCTGTTGTGTGCGTTAGAAGATATTACGTGAATGTATTAGTTCCACATGGAAGCACAAACGTGTAGTTTTCAACACTTAATGGAAGATCAAGCGTACACATACCTTCTGGTGGAGTAGGGAAATTTTTTTGCCCCGTTTCTGTTGCGGATGCAAGCACACGTGCATCATGAGTAGAGCCCTCTCATCCAGCTAACATGTAGGTGAACCTCATGTCGAACGAACAGACTCCTAATACATTTTGAGAGAAGAACCCCTTCCGATTTCTCCATATCTCAGCATTTGCAGCGGGTGGAACACATGGTACGTGAGTACCATCAAGAGCGCCAACACAATTCTACGTAGTAACTAATTACCATACGCAACAATGCAATTCTACATATTTATCTTAAAGAGTAATTAGTTTAGGGAAAATACCTGAAACCATGGCAGACACTTGTTTCCACGCACGGCTACGACGGGATCGATAATGTTGAAGTTTTGGTGTAAGGAAGTCAAAATGGAGCTCATACAACACCTTCAAAACAGCGTGGAAATACTTTGAAATGGTAGCACCATAATGCTGCCATTGATCTTGTGACTCCCTGTTGTTTGAACTTTGACATACAATGTATAGGAAAATAAAAAGTTGCTCGTGCACATTCATATTCCTAGTCGGTCTTAAAAGCCCTTTAAGCTCAAGCAACGTACTAAGACGCTTGAAACAATCACTTCTCATTCTAATCTTCGACCTAATAACGTCCTCATGTCCATCAAGTAGGTATTGAACATGCATTATACCTGCGAGTGCGGAGGTATGCTTTGGTTGAGGCGGTGGTCTTTCCATGTATGTGTAGTAATACCACAAAACTACTACTACTGCCGCAATCTAATAATCGTCATCTGAGTCGTCACTATCATCGTTTTGAGGAACGTGGTTTGAGGGACCTACATTCCACATTGCTACCTGCGAGACATGCATAATGAAAGAATAACAAACGAATATATATGAAATGGTCATCTCATCCACAAGTAAAGGTGACTACACATAGTACATCAATAAATACTGTTGTTTGCAATGCAACTCAATATCCATAGTCAATACAACACCAGCATGGTCGTAGTAAACATAATTAGCAAAGTCTACTCAAATACTATGTTGAAATCTAAAAATGACAAATGATGTTCAATTGTATGAATACAGACAATGGTGAAAACAATATTTTATGAAACTCAATGTTGGTCCGGACTGCCATCGCCACCAAAGTGTCCCGGTTGCGGCGAAAAGTGAGGCATGTAGTATGGTGTTTGGGGATTATACACAGTCGGTTGTTGGGGATTTGTAGGAAATGGTGGGACAGGTTGTTGTCCCCCAAAGTTTGGGGGCCGTGGCATATTGTTGGTGGGTTGTTGGCCAAAGAAGGGCGCCGATTGCATATAGCTGCTGGGTTGTGACATGAAGTGGGGAAATTGTGGCGGCATAAACTGTGTCCCCGTAGAGGCATGGGGGTTTGAGAAAGGTCCATGTGCTTGAGTCCTTAACGTACTGATTGTTCTTGTCACGAAGAGGTTACGCTGACTATCACTCATTCCCACGAACAGCTTCTGCATATTTAGGTACTAAGCAATAGCCTCCAAAAACATTATTATGGTTTCATCATCAAGCGCCATTTCCCTAACTATGCTCTGGCATTGGTCCTGGAGATCAACAATAGGCGCAGCCTGATTCGTACTAGAGCTTTTAGTGCGACTACTACGCTTGCTTTCAATAGAAGAGACAAGCTTGCCAATTAAATCCCTCGCTATAGGATCACATATTACCTTATGTGAGGACTTGGCTGGTTTCTTGCCGATCGCTTTGGAGGACGACGCAATGTTGAGACCTCTAGCTACATTGTTCAAATCGGCCCGCATAGAGGCAATGAAACTATCTTCGCTGCCACCCTCATCAAATGTCGCCCCTTCTTCGTCGGAGATGTGTACTGGACCCTCATCTATGTTTTTTAGATTATCCTCCTTTCTTAAATGCCCCACTTGCCCTCGTACCACCAAAGGCCTCATAGTACAAGTCCTAGTTTTTAAGAGGCTGATTCTTTGCCAATTTTGCCCATTTCTTGTTCTGCATATGAATGAGCAAACAAAATGACCTTGGCAAAATGTTGCAGGAATTGACTACCCATAGAACAATAATTGTTTAGACATTTACCTTGGCAAAATCTTCCCAATATTCATCAATGCACGTCACAGCACCAGTAACAGGGTCCCAGCCAAGTCTTGTGTTATTGCGTAATGTAAGCTCATGGTCAAACTTAGCTTTGAGACGGACTTTCATCTGCTGCACTTTGACAGGGGTGACATGATCCTTAAAGAACTCTTGAAGTTGTTGCGCCCAATCCTCCTGTGTTTTAGAATCAGGTTTCCATTTGTTGGCATCACGATTGTAAGCAGCGAGTCGCATAAGCAACTCCTCTTTCTGCCTTTCAGTCCAGTGTAGAGTGGCTTCATCGTCGGGTTTCCCTCTCGGCATCTAAAATAGCAAAGAAAGCAACGTAACAACGCATAAGAAGAACGGTCGTACGCGTGAGTCAGATGTTTGTAACAATCCAAAAATGAGACACTATTATAAATGGCTCAGAACATTTTTCAAACATCACTGCCATTAACCATTCCTATTACCTGGTTTTTACACGTAACAAGTGAGGCAATGTTATAACTGGCTCAGAAATTTTATGGCTAATTAATCGCAACAACACTCGGAGCATCATCCTTATAAGCAGAAGCGACGTAGCTGCCATGCTTCAGAGGCGCTCGATACATTCCAATGAAGCGGTAACTAACTATCACATTGCCTACAGGACGCCGCTACGACGAGTGTTCTAATTTTTGAACCAATTTCATCATAGCCAACATAACCTGTTTGTAAAGCGGTCATGTGCGATACGACTAGAGGGGAGGCAATACACCAACAGCAGAGGCAGTACATCCACAGGGGAGGCAATAAGCTAAGGTAAAAATGGCAACAGCAGAGCCAATACAACAATAGGAGAGGCCATAAACTAAGGTAAAAACGGCAACAGCAGAGCCAGTACAACAATAGGAGATGCCATAACCTAAGGTAAAAAGGGCAATGGAGAGAATATATGACAACAGGGGAGGCAATAAGCTAAGGTAAAAACGGCAACAAGAGAGCCAATACGACAACAGGGGAGGCAATAAGCTAAGGTAAAAACGGCAACAGGAGAGACAATACGACAACAGGGGCATAAATAAGCTAAGGTAAAAATGACAATAGGCGAGGCAATACGAGAACAGGGGATGCAATAGCCATAGGTACAAACGACAACAGTAGAGGCAATACGACAACAAATAAGAGAACATTGTGACTACAAACGACAACAGTGGTCTCAGTACACATTGGCATCACAATACAAATGACAATGAATAGGTCTCAGTATACATTGTCATCACAATACAAACGACAACCAATAGCTCAACATCAAACCAGTCAAAACGAAGAACTACGGTGTGACCATGACAAATCCAGAATAAATAATCGTATATAGAGCTTAGTAGATGTGAAAGATCATACCCGGTTGGAACCAATTGAGGACAAAGGCTTATCGTCTATCAAAACCCATAAACGCGATCATGAGGCAGCTCGTACGACGGCTTGACACCGGAACCACCGACGGTAACCTCTCAACGGAAGATAACCAGTAGATGCAAGATTCTGTCGTTTGGCTCTACATCGACGCAATAAAATGGCCAACGGAGTTTGCCGGTTGCCTCGAGGCAGATGAATGGTATCCATGATGAAGATTCAAGGGCAGGGGCGGGGAACACTTCTAGGGTTGGGCATGCAACAAGGAATCGAAGCAAAAATGGTGGAAATAAGGGAGTGGTTTACCTTTTTTCACTGCGGATCGACACAAAGCAACCGATTTGAGTAACCTTCCCCCAATGGAGAGAATCATTTTTCACTCCAAAATCTGTAGAGAATCACTTTTTCAGAGTGAAATTAGAAGGGGGAGGCAGGAGCGAGGGTCCGGCGGGCAGAAAGCAGAGAGAAATCTGCACTTGGGAGGTAGGAACGAGGCAGCAACGGGAAGAAAGTAGAAGAATCTGCACTGTTCAAGCACATGGAAACACTGTAGAAGCACACTGCAGTAATGGGAAAACAACTGGTATGCCAAACTCTGAAATCAGAGTTATTACTCGAGTTTTACACTCGAGTTTTGGTTGATGAACGCCAAACTCAGCCCAAAATTCAACTCGAGTGGGCTGTACTCGAGTGGGATACATGAAGTGAATGGGCCCTTAGTTAACTACCTTTTAAACTCAGCGATATAAATTCATAACCACCTAAATTAAAAGAAATTTATTTAGAATTATATTACATCAATAACCATAAAATGGACAGATTAATAATATTGTTGAATTAAAAACATATTGTAAACATAAAGGCTAAAAGAGAGAAGGAGGAAAATAACATATTTAGTAAAAAGTTTAGTAAATTACATCATATTTTTTTAAAATAGTATATTATAGCATAATTTAATATTTCAAGTTTTAAACATTATTAAAAACTCAAAAATACCCCTAAACCTCCTTTCCACCTCTCTCTTCTTCCCCTAATAGTTAAGTCTACCATGGCCGGTTCCGGTGATAGGCAACCAACTCCAATGACAGGGGGCAACCCGTGACCGACTATCGTTTTCCAGCGGCCAACACCGATTTTTCGGTATATCATATTTATTTGAAAATCTGGCAACTAGGTCTGATGAGTGGTAAATATTGTACTTACTAGTAAATATTGTACTTATCCGGTGATCAAAAAATACCATACTGGTATAAGTACAATATTTACCAGTAAATACAGTATTTGCCGATTTTACTAAAAAATATATATTTACGATATTTATCTAAAAGTCCAACGACTTGCTCCGGTGACCAGTAAAGACTGTATTACTAGTAAATACTATATATACCATATTTATCTAAAAATTTGGTGATTGGTGAACACCATATTTATCTGTAAATACTGTTGGGGTCCGGTAGATTCGGAAGGTCGATGTGTCAAGGGCTGACACATGTATTCATGTAGTTTGTCAGAAGCGGATCCGACGTGGCCGAGCTTCGAAGTGGATGATGATGACGGTACCTCTGATGAAAAGTGGGGTCGGTTAGGCCCAAATTAGGTTGAAGGACGTGTGTCCTAAGACCCTCTTTGTTGCTGAAATGATGAAAATATCCTGCAAAAAAACGTTAGAGAATCCGCAAAAAATAAATAAAAGAACTTCGGAGATGAAGAATGGACGGAGGTGCGACCAAGTAGTTGAGGAGATGGAGAAAAAGAGGCTGAAAGTGCCTTGATAGAGCAGTGCTATGGAAATAAGCGCGAGCTGCTCCGGGAGCAAAGATGGTGACTCAAGTGGTGGATAAGGCTTGGAGAAAAGTGAGAGTGAAGTTGGTAAGATGGAGAAGGCTCTGGTGAAAAGAACTCCAAGAGCAGTGCGTGTTGCTCTTGGAGTGAGAACGACGCTTGGAGCACTTGCTCCAACGATGAGCGAAAGTGACTCTGAAAATGAAGACTTGAACGTTGCAGGAAAATGTATGAAGAGACATCGATGAGTTTTAAGATGGTGGTGAAAATGGATCAAAAAGTGTTTTGGAAAAATTTCTAAGGCTGTCAACACTTAGAAGCTTTGAAGGGCTTTGAAGAGTTTGAAGAACTTCAAGTCTCTGTAGCAAGAGACTAGAGAAGTTTGAAGGAAGGAAGAGAGAGAGTGATTTGAAGAGGATGAAGATAGTGACTGGTGATGATGATGAATTCACCTTAGGAGATCGGGACTCAAAGGTTCAGCTTTTTTCCGGTCATCTAGAATGAGGAAGATGAGGTATTTATGTTGGGAATGGTGTCCTAAAAGCATGAGATGTAATAGGATATTTATTATTTATTTAATAAAAGAGTTTATTCATTATTTTAGGTGCATATATTTTTATGAATATTTTATGAATATCAAATGAAAATTCCATGATTATTTATGTGACCTTAAACATTGTATATGAGTGTTATATGCTAAAGGATAATGTTTAAGTATAATAATAAAAAATGATGTTCATAATGAATATAATTAAAGTTCAGAATCTTTAATTAAAACATTACTAATACATGGCATTCCCATTTAGAATGGAACAGTGTTATCCACACTGTTAATATGATGAGATATTGAATAAGTGTATAACGCATCATGAGATTATGTGGAACAAGGACACATACACAATATGAATTTCTGATAATTTTCGTTAAGTATAGAAATTATAATTGAGTCTACTGATGATCATTTATAGAATGATCTTAATCCTGAGCTCTTAACAGACTCCTATTTATAGATTTGTGTCTTTTGATTTACTCGGTACGGATTTTGAGATCTTGATTAATATTCCTTGTATTTTGGAGACATGATAAAGTAGGTAGCTGGGAATGTTATTATACGAGATGGAATCCATTCCTTCTTGAGAAAGAAGAAGATAAATAACTCTCTTAAGGGTTGATTCGGTACTTTGACCAGTAGGAGCTCCGATTCATGAATTTTTTTTTATGAATCACT